GATAAAAAAGATGTGGCATCTTTATGCAATGGAGTACTACTCAACCATAAAAAAGATAAGATGGACACTTTTATAGGTGAGTGTGACACCATACTCATAAGTGAAATAAATTAGATTCACATGTATAAATGTCATATTGTCTCCCTGATATGAGAAACTAGGAGGGAGTGAATAGGCTTAAAATGTTCAAAAGATATTGTGAAACTAAAAGAAATTATTAAAAAGGAAAATGGAATAGGATAAAGGAAAGGAGAAAGGAAGGAAGGGAAAAGAGAATAAAATACAAGTTAGTTATCCTATTAATTCATAAAAAGGGAAGATTTGTGTTAATATTCTTTGGAGAGTTTTTTATGCTCATATCTTTTACTATGAGTATTTCAAAGATAATAATATGCAGTGTATTAACTGTAGCTGTTCTATCATCTTGTAAAATTTTTCTTTACCTTTTTTACATAAAATGAAAAAAATTGCTCATTTTAAGTTTAAACTATTTTATGTCTTTTAATATTTAGATCAACAAACTTATAGAGCCAGGTTAATGTCACCCAAAACAATATCACAAACCCCTCTTGAGATGTCATTGGTGAAATTGGCATACTTAAAAAATAATATTATCAGGGCTGGGATTTAGCTCAGCAACATAAGTGCTTGCCTTGTAAGTGCACAGTCTTGAGTTCGATCCCCAGTAGCAAAAAAAAAAAAAAAAAAAAAAAAAAAAAAAAAAAAAAAAAGATAAAAAGTATTATCAGTATTGTAGAAGATCTGCACTCAAGCAAAATTATAATTATTTGTAATTAACTTTTCCATTTTCAGCAAATTAATTAAATTAAGACCTACATACCTCTACTCTCTGTATAACATGGTACACTGAATCTTGAAAGTTTGTACATTAAATCAAAATATGCATATCTATTCTAGATCTCTCATCCTCTTTGTTAACAAAAATAATTCTCTGGTTCTAGAATAGAAACAGCAAAGCTTTGAAATTATATGGTGTTAGGTTGAATATAAATTTGATGCTTCATTTTTAACATACATTTTAAAATTTAGATCTCAAAAGACTTTCAACAGTACAACTCGTAAGTTAAAATGGTATAATTGATACAAAATGATTAAAAGAATCAAGATAAAATAGAAGTTAAATTCTCTGAATAACAAAGACATATGAGATATTACATATTTACTGGTTCATATAATGAATACATAATATATACATATATGAACACACTTATTTTGTTCATACTTTGTTAAGAATCAGGTTGATTTTCAAATGTTACTAATGTTAAAATTTCATATGATAGGTCTACATTATTATTTTTTTCTTAGATAGGTCTATATTATACATGAACATGAAGATATTCTAAATTTAATGATGTAATAATCCAAATATATATATAGAGAGAGAATGCCTTTACTTTTATTGTAAAATATAAACTAAAATTTATTGTGAAAATATCCAGTGTTGTAGAAGAAAAGGCTAAGTGTTGTTGGTAGAAAAGTAATTTTGGGGGGCTGGGGATTTAGCTCAGTGGTATAAACGCCTGCCTGGCAAGTGCAAGGTTGTGAGTTTGATCACTAGTACAAAAAAAGGGGGGCTTTTATTTTTGAGACAGGGTCTTGTTATGCAGTTCAGGCTGGCCTTGAACTCACTCTGTAGCCCAGGTTGGTCTTGAACTCACAGCAATCCTCCTGCCTCAGCCTCCTGAGTGTTGGGATTATAGGTGTATACCACCGTGCCTGGAGCTAAAAAAAGTACTTTTTAACATGAGAAGATTCCTTGTGAAAATGTTCGCAACAATAACAGCTAATATTACCATTTATTACATTTGTAATTCCTGAGAATATATAAATAAAAGATCTCATTTTTGATTTTCTAAAAGCAGATTAGAGATAAAGCAGATTAGAGACTAAGCATGCAAAACCAAAACAGTGACTGTACCAAAATCTGCACAGTAATATGAAGTTTAAAAAGTAAGAAAACATAGAAAAACATTTGTATGATAGAAACCTTATAATGAATATTATAAACTTTGTCATTAACATACTGTTATAGATAGCATCAGTATATTAATGTTTCCATTTCTATGTTTATACAGAAATCAAAATTGATTTGTCATATCAGACAATAAGAAAATTTTTCTATTCATTTTTAATATAGGAAAAATAATTTTATACAATGGATTTTGATTTTATATGAAATGGAGTTACAATGTATAGGGAAGAAAGGATAATTTGAGGACAGAAGGCACAATAGTTATTATTTTTTTAAATAGGCTTAATTTCTACTTCTCTACTTACCAAATGTAATTAATTACTGGAGTAATTGGACTCACTGACATGTGGTTTATTTATGGTATATATAATAGGCGTGCCATCACCAGTTAGGTTTTTACATATTACTGTCTGCAGTTTAGAGCTGGGAGGTGGAACAGTAGGGAGGTAGTATAATAATAAGAATAATGAGTGCATTATCTTCAGTTCTACACAGAAGTTTTGCAATAATTTTGCTACAGTCTTTTTTTTCCTTCATGTTTCATTCAGCTACTATCCTCTGTCTGAGACCTGTTTTGTGTGCCAAGCATTGTGTCTATGACAGCCCTCCTTTCCCAAAGATGAATAAGGTTTAGTCCATGCCCCAGAGAAGCGTATGGTCTACCAGGGAAGCAGACATGTGGAATAGTCATCGCTGTTCAGTATGTGATTAAGGGAATGCAAGAGTCAAGTTTTCTGACCTGCTATTGCATATATGAAACTTTTTAATGGCAATGTTTGTTAACATAATATTTCTGTAGAACATAGACATTTCTATGCATACCAGCACTGATTTCAATAATATTTGCGTGATTCAGGCAAGCAATGAAGTTTTGGGTTTTTTTTTTTTTTTTTTTTTTTTTACAAAAACAGACATAAGAATTATTCTTTGGTGTATTTTTCTTTTCTGGAAACTCTCTTCAGGGTGACCCCTGGGTCTGACCCAAACTCTCCCCATGGTGACCTCTGGGCCTGACCCCCTCCAACAAGATGAGGGATGCAGAACAAAAGGTATTCGGTAGGGGCTGCAGTCCTGGCGGGGCCCAGAGGAGCTCCCAGTCCTGAAAATAAAACACACTGCTCAGGAATTCACTGCCTAACATTTTGCATTCTTTCCCAGCCCTTGGTGTTGCTAGCTGGCAAGGATGTCTGGATTTCAAAGAGAGAGAGGGGAGAAACCTGCCTTGTTTTGAGGGTATGAAGTGACAACACAGCTCTGGCATCTCAAGTAGCAAGGGAGACAGAACTGTAAGGCACACAAGTTCAGTTTCCTCACAATAATGCAAACACAGTGTTCTCAGTAACTATCACATGTTGTCTCCATGACGATATAAAGGCTTCTTAAGATACTGTCTTACATGCACACGTGCACACAGGTGCACTCATATGCACAATAACTTACAAGAGAGATGATTGTTGTACCTTTACTAAAGAAAAATTTCCCACATTTATGATAAGCATAAAACCTTCACAGGTTTTTCATTTTTTTCTAGCATGATTTCAGACACTGTATCTTAAAAGAATACCCAGAAGTATTTTAAAGTTAGGCCTAAATTGTAGGTAGCTGACTTTGTGCTTATCTATCCTGTATAGTTTTTGTCCATTGCTATTCTTGAGGCTGGTACTTTGTAAGAAAAAGAAGCTCATTTAGCTCATAGCTGTAGATGTTCAAGAGCATGATGCCAACGTCTGCTTGGCTCTGGGGAGACCCCTTGACTATAACACATAGTGGCAGGAGCACATGCAAGATAAAACAAATGGTAAGAAAGGACACTGAAGGACAGGGAGGGTCAGGCTTGCTCTTTTTATAATAACTTATTCTTTTTGCTAATTGACCAAAGTTCTACAGTTACCTTAACATCTTCCAACAACTATGGTGCCAATGATACATTGCTTCTCACTAGGCTCCACCTCTCACTGATTCCACACCTCTAAACAATGCCACACAGGAGACCAAGCTTCAGGTATATGAACGCCTGGGAGGCACACTGAAGCCATATCCAAACTGCAGCTTGTACTACAGCAAATTTAAACTGTGCTGCCTCCTTTCTTCCCAAGGGAAGCATCAGAGATGGATGCTCAAAATCCCTTGACTGGAGAAAAACCATGACACTCAGTAAAGATGGCACAAGTTCCTGATGCGTAGCAATCAAGTGGGATTGCAGGGATGCTACTTAAAACCTTTCTTGGTAATGGTTCAGTATTTTTATTTCCTAACAAATAAATTATACAGACCTCTGGGACTCATTCCATTACCAATCTAGTTAAAACTATGCATTTGACAAATTCTGAGTATTTTTTATCTTTCTATTTCTCATATCCTCACAATAGAGAGAGGAAGAAAACATTTCTTCTTGGCCTCCTACTATAAACTAAAATTAAGTGAACCCTATCAAAAAGTCAGGCAGACAGCTTGATAATAGGAAATTCAACGAAACAGAAGTGGGTTGAATAAGGAAGTATCTCAGATAAAGAAGAACTGGGCTCTTGTCAGTTAAACTGTAGTAGGACTAATTTAGCATTCTTTACCAGATGAAAGGCTTTCAATTTCATCTGTCTCTCCGAGTTGCCATCTATAATGCTTTGGGCGCATTTTGTAGGTGTGACATTCTTTGTTCTTCAGGAAGTATGTAGCTGTGTCTTTGATTTACTTTAACTTTGAAAACATTTCCAGATTTATCCAAATCTCCTCCTGTGGTAGAAAGACTAATTCTTGAGTACTTGAACTTAAAATGAGATTCACAGTACTATCAAACTGGACATCTTTCAGTTAAATGCATCTTTCTGATGATACGAGTGGTCTCAGTCCTGTCCACTTAAGACCCATGGCTCTGCTTTGACTGACAGGTCTCTGCTGGACCAGTGTGAGGTTTGCTCTATCCAGTGAGTTAGGGAGGCTAAAAACTTGGTTCTATCATTCTTTATCCCTGCATTGGAGCAGAGATTAGTACTGAAGGCTAGCACAGTTTCCTTTACTCCTACAGATTCCAGGAAGCCACATTCCCATTCAAACAACTCCTCTGGCCTAAGATCTGCCTATTCAAAGTCATATCTGATGCACTATTCTTAGTTTTGTTGCTTTATACAATTTTCAGAAGACATTGCATTGTAGACAAAGTTTATTTCTTCATGCAGCCATGCCTCTGCCAGTGGAAGTCTTGAGAACTGTCAGAATCCTGTCTGTGTACTGTCAAGTAAATCACAAGGGCTGGGACAGATTTCAATCTGCAGAGGTGAGAAATTTGTCGGGCACCGCCCAACGACTGATATTTGCAAAACAATATTTATTATCAAAGGTTTGGAGACAAAACTTTGCAATATCATTGGAAGTTACCTTCACAATAAAAATCCCTTTATTCCTAGATTATGTCGGAGCAGCCATTCTTCTGGTGAAGCGGAGACACCCAGGGGACACCAGCAGCCATATCTGCACTCAGTAAACAAGACTGAACACAAGGAAGGAGCAGAACAGGAAGGTCACCTCGTGGGAGAGCTCAGAAGTGCAAAGTTACTCCCAAGCAGTGCACTTTGGGCAAAATTTGGAGTTCTGATCATCACACTTTAGTGCTCAGTGCTGATTCCTTAAAGTCAGTCTCCTTACTTCACAGTTCTGTGCCTCTTCTCCCTCCCAAACCTGTGAACTTGGTGTTTGTACAGATGAATTACTCTAAACAAAAACATTGACTGATATGAGCAAAACTGCATTAATATTCAGAAAGGAAAATTTTTATAACTTAGCAACAGAGACCAAACCCATAATCTTAAAGGAGAGGGTGTTGTTAATTGGACAGCATCCTTTCTTATGCAGGCCAATGAGGCACAGGCACCTTAATGGAACCAAATTGTATCCTACTAAAAATTACAAGAAATGTAATTTTAATTGCCACAGTCTAGTAACTTCTATGATTAAAAACTGAATGGTAACTTTGTGGTAAACTATTTCATACAAATTGACATGTGCACAATGCAATGACTTGTTGGAATTATCTTATTCTAAAAAGCTCAAAAGAATTGAGTCCAAAGAGCCACCTCTGATAATTTTGAGCTGAATGTCAACTCCCACTATTTGTTTATACAGAAGTAAACCATTCTGTCATTTGATCTGCATTTTTATTCACGGGGCCATTCTTCTTAATTCATGCAATTTTAAAAGATTGAATGTTTCAAGATAAAATATTTTTTAATTATAAAATTGCAAGTCAAATAAATGTAGAAAAAAGAGACCATCTAGACTCAGCATAAGTGTCTTGTGGATTTTTACACATGAATGGAACAAGAAACTGTTAGAAGAAATTCAGTATGGAAATATGTGTGCAAAATGAAGATGAGCACTTCTGTTAAAGCATTGTTTTATAGTTTTATCACGTGCAGTGTAAGCTTCAAGAATTTTAAATGATCCTGGTAATTTCAGAGTGAAATTTTCTTTTAAAAGTACTAGAATAAAATGGAGGAAATATGTATTAACTTCTCTTCAGAGGACTGCATGGTCCTCCCTCCTACCACTATTCCACGTAGATTCATGAAGCTTGAGAATCCCTGGGTGTGTAAGCATAGTTGATGAGATAGAGGAATCAAATTGGCAGATTGTGTCAAGGAACTGTGGTCAGATCACTCCTGAGAAGCGTTAGGATGATTCTCATACATGAGACTATCTTGACATATTATTTTGAAATAAAATGTTTTTGTTTTGATACCTATTCCTGTGATGGTGGTTAATTTTACATGTCAGTTTTCCATGTCACAAGTTAAGTGCTCAAACATTATTCTGAATTTTTTTTTTGTAGAATGTTTTTGGGAGGATTAACATTTAATTCAATGTTCTTCAATGTTAAAAGTAAAAAAGATTGCCTTCTGTAATATAAGTGTGCCTTGTTCAATGAGTTGAAGGCTAAAAGAGGGCCAAACACTCACCTCTCCAAATGAGAGCGAATTCTGACTCTAAATGGCAGGAAGACCTAAACAGTAATGTTGGGTCTTCACTGATTGCTAGCCTACTGGTACACCCTGTATAGTTTGGGTTTGTCTTCCTTTACAGTTACGTGAGCCAATTCCTTTAAATAAATCTCTGTCTATTATCTGTATGTCATCTGGGTTAATCAACTTTCCATTATTACAACTAAAATCCTGAGATAACTTATGAGGAGATAGGATTGTAAGATAATTTATGAGGAGAAGAGGTTTATTTTGGCTCCCAGACTGGAGGTTCCAGTTAAAGTTCAGGTAGACCTATTGCCGCAGGCCTGGGGGAGGCATGACAGACAACAATGACAGGGGTTGTGTGGCAAAACAAATTGCTCACCTCCTGGCCAGGAACCAAAGAAGATAAAGGAAGAAGCCAAGGTTCCACCATCCCCTTGCGATGTATGTCTTCAGTGACTCAAATACAGACGATTTAAGAACATCATAGAACACAGAAAGGCTTTTCTCTCAAAGGTCCACAGCACCTCCAAATACATCACCCTCAAGATCCAGCCTTTGGCACATAGACCTTTGGGTGGTCCTCAACACTTGTTATGCTTTATATCTAGATGTGTCCCCAAAGTCTCATGTGGTCATAGATGAGGATTTTCAGAGATGGCTGTGTTTGGTGTGTGAATGTGTATGAAGAGTGTGATATTGGGTTTAAGAGTGAGGCTAAAGGAGCCCCAGCCTGGGTGTCAGTGGTGTCAATCAATAGGCTTTAGCCTTGATGAAACATGAAGTCATAGAGACAAAGCAGGCTGCTGCTGCTGCTTGCTGTCCTGCTGTCTTCTGATTGCCACACCATGGACTGTTTGCCCCTGCTGTGCTACCCTGACTTGGAGCCTGCTGATTGTGGACTGAAGCCTCTACAGACTGCAGAATGAAATAAATTTTTCCTCCTTTAACTTTGAGTAGCAGGTGTTTTGTCTCCACAATTTACTTTCTAGTAACTAAGACAAAGCTACAACCACAGCACAACGTTGTTCATTCTGTTTCTCTGGGGAAGCCTAATATACCTGTCTAGCTCAGACTCCAAAACCACAAGCTGCAATATGATAATTGTGACATCTCTCAGGGCAGCAGAATGAAACATTATCAGAAATTCTTTAAAAATGCAGGAAAGTGACTGAATTAATTTATAGTGTATTTTCTTACACTACACAATACAGAAAGTATAAGTGTAAAAAGTACTGTAATAGTTGATACATTGTGTCTGCTTGAGAAGTCTCAAAGCTTAACTAAGAGACTCAGCAGAGGACCAAGATCCTCATTTTGTAAACATTCTCATCCTGTGCAAGAGGAGGGTATGGAGATGGTGTCATTATGAAGGATCCAGCCTATGGCAGAGGGCCTGCATGAAGAGGGCCTGCATGCAATATAAGGGAGGATAAGGAGCTTGCTCTTCCCCCTTTGTTTTGCTCTCCTGGCTGCCTTGAACTGTTTTGTCTGTCACCACGTCAGGCTTCCTTGGAGCCAACTAATTATGAACTGAAACCTCCACAAACTGTGAACTAAATAAATCTTTGCTTTCTTAACTTTGGATATCAGGTATTTTGTCTCAGCAACAAGAGAAAAATAATGAAGACAAATACTAAATAAAATTTCAAATGTTTCCAGGCAGCCAGTAGGTAATAGGTAGAGGACACACACGATAATAGTGCTGCCTGCAGTGTATGGTGAGAAATCTAATTTCTCTTTCTCCTCCTCTTATTCCTCCTCTTTTTTATTCTTGTTTTATTTCTCCTTCTTTTTCCTGTTTTCCTCATTTCTTCTCTTCATTCTCATTCTTCTTCTTTATAAATGAATATTGTACAGGCCAAATACAAAGATAAAAGTCTTCTATAGTCAATCAATTTTTACATTATGTAATAAATTTAAACTTGAAAGTTCAGAAGATTTTCACTAAACAAATGCTGGAACAAGAGTGATGGAAAGACAACATAAAGACTCTTTTTTTAGACACAGTCTCACTTTGTAATTCAGACTGGCCTTGCACTCATGATCTTGCCTCAGCCTCCTGAGTTGCTGGTATGAGCCCCCACACCTGACCCAGAGCATGCTTTTTGAGGAGTACTATATCTCATGAAACAGCAGGAAGAGTATCACTGAATTAGGCTCATAGAGATCAGAGTGAAAAAGGGGGAGGTGTGAACAGATCTCCTAGAAGTAATAATATCAAACTCCAGAACCCGAACTGCAAGGGCAAGTTCAAAACTAAAAGCTCCCAAATCGTGACTTCCCCAAGGTTCCAAGCAGTTTTCTGTGAGCACAAGAAAGAACAAATGAAATTAGCTAGATACAACACACACAGAATTTAGTTTCCTCTAAGGAAAGAATTCTGTAAAATTATAGCCATATTAAACCATAAATTTCTTGAGATAGATTATGAATATAACAATTGATCATGGTACCACATACAAAGTAGGGGCTTGATAAGTATTAGCTGTTTCAAAGAGAATTTAAAAATGATTAAATAGTCAATCTGCTGTGTCAAAGGCTTTGTTACTCAAGAAGTGGATGAACAGAAGTGGCTATTAGATGTAGGAGTAGCTTTGCATCCCTAGGGATGACTGAGTCCCTACGTAAACCTCCAACTGAGCTTCAGGATAGACTTGGGCTTAAAAATATCCCTTCCTTAGCACCATATGTGAGCTCTCACTGTAATGCCGTGCCTGATCTTGAAATCCTGGGCTCAAGTGATCTTTCTGCCTCAGCTATCCAAAGGAGCTAAAAACAGGCCAGCACCACAGTGTCTAGCTTTTGAAAGAATTTTTTACACCACATTCAAAAGTCCTTGCAGTGGAGATGCCCTTAGCTAGTGTATACCCTTCTTAAAAATCTAGCCTGGGAATGTGGCTCAGAGCTGGAGGGCTTGCCTAGTATGCATAATGTGCTCTGAATTTGCTCCTCAACACTACACATACACAAAAGAAATTAGAAGGACTTTTAGGGTTAATATGACAGTTCCACCAAGATGAAGTAATTTAAATCAGTTTTTCATCTAGATATTAGCTGAAGTTACCTTTATTTGTGGAGATGAAGGATCTTGTCGTGAGTGTAGAAGCGAGAAGCATTTTAAGGGAAAAAGGGTTGCCACAGTGAACTTAGACAACAATCAACACAGGGCAGGTTGGACAGAAAGGTTTGAGGACTGCAGTCTTTATGATTAGTTAAGAAAACCTCAGATGTTGTCACAGAACATGTGGTTTGAAGACCAGCAGTGCAGCATCACCTGTGAGCTTGCTAGAAACATGCAATTCCAGGATCCATCCTGAGCCCAGTGAAGCAAATCTGCCTTTTAGCAAAATCCTTAGATGACTTTTATACTCATGAAAACTTCAGAAATACTATAAAAACATATTTTTAATTTCCAAGACGTGGAAATGTGAGAAATGCTTCTATTCCTCCTTTTTCTGCTCAAATGAGTTCCTGCTTATAGGAAACAGGATTTAGGCCTGTGCTATGACTAAAGTATTTCCACTTTGTTATAGGTTAAACATGCTTTAAAACAAGCCTAAGAGCCAAATCAATGCATTCAATACAATACAGCATCTGCAGGGAATTTGTCCTCACTTAAACAGCTAACCTCCAAATAAGCTGGTAGAACACAATTCCTTTATAAATTTGGTTGCCTTTAGTCATCCACAGAAAAAGACTATTCTTAGTACAGAAAGCAAAACTGAATTTTGCTACAACAATGTATAAGTAGCAAAGTTAATAATGTAAGAATTTCCATATTCAAATATCTGTAACAGTGAGAAAAAATCAAATAGCTAAGCATTTCCTCAATACCATCAATTTAAATATGACAAATCATGATTTGTACATCCTACTTTAATTTTGCATTCATCAGAGAAATTTAAAAAAATCTGCCAATGAATAGAAACATTTCTTTCAAGATTACTTATGGCTTAAAAACAGAGCCATTATCTTACCTGTCTATTCCCAGCACCCAGAAGTATGTCCAGAATAAAGAAAAATCTCAGTAGCTCCAAATAAATGAATGAAAGAATGAATGAACTCCATGTCCAATACAATGCCATTTTAAAGTAGATTCTAAGGAAATATATCAAATCACTCAGCATATAGGAGAAAATACATCAAAATACTCAATTAATAAAAGAGATTGACTCAGAGTCCCTAGTGCATATATACTGAATTAAAATGTCATATTATACATTACTGAGGATAGAAAAATTTTAAGATGACCTTTAATAATTGTACATTTTTTCTTTTAGCTATAATGAAACCATGTGTAGTTAAAAGAAATAAATTTTGTGGAAGACCACTGAGGGGAATCTATTCTTTGCAAACCTTCAAGTCTGGATAATCATTCCGGGTGACGTCTATTTGTAAAGTATTGCCATTTATGTTCACTGAAAAATCCTTAACCCTCAAAAATATAACTCACTGATTAAAATGTATTTTGAATATATTATGTCTCTATCTTCGAATATTTTGTTATGTCTATCTCTGAGATGGGATGGGGCAGAGCAGATAAGAGACAAAAAGGAGATACCAGATAATGAGAAGTGCTATATGTAAAATAAAATAATCTGACACCTGATACTGTACATGGTAGTTAACCTTAGACTATGTATTTAGAAAGGTTTCTCTAAAGAAATTGTGTTTCTCTAAAACACAAAGAAGGTGCGAGGTGCGTAAGTATCAAAGATAAGGGCATTTTGGGCAGCAAATATTTAGTGCCACCTTTGCATGCTTACAAAATAGAAAG